TGCGCGCGTATGTGCGTGTGTTTGTGCTGTGCGTGCGCGCGCGTGCGTGCATGCATCTGTGTGCTGTGCGTGTGTGCGAGTGCGTGCATGCATCTGTGTGTGCGTGTGTTCGTACGTGCGGCGACTGTTTCCCCGATATTTAATTGACGTCTGCCAACCTCCCCTCCCTATATGTTTAATGGTTCCATCCTTAACTCTCTAACGAAAGAGAGCAAAAACAATATACCATAAAACTAAAGGCAATCAACAAAAGACACCATGGCAGGCAGTGCATAGTAAAATACAACTCACAATGAAAACAAAGCTTTGCCAAAAGATAGCCCACGATATAAGACAATGCATTACCAAAAGCAATACACTGTGAAAGACCGTGCAGATCGACCGACAGACGAAAAATGTATAACCGACAGTGATGCAAAGCGTTGCAAACGAAACCACACAATGGAATACAATGCACGACAAAGGGGCAAACCACTATAAAAGCAATGCATTGCAAAAAAAAACCATGCGGGAATACAATGCACGGCGAAAGACTATCCACGACGAAAGGCAATGAAAAGCGTGAGACAATCAACACTATGCAAAGCAAATGAAAAATGAAATTTTCAAAAAACACAATGCATGGCTAGGGAAAATCGGCAGGCAGACGATAATTACTCACAAGCGCGCTCCATTAGGATGTGAAGACAGGCTCTAATACATAACGCGCGAGAATATTGGCGATACTCTTCTGTGATCTATGGCGCTCGTCGTTGAAGGCAGCAGCAGGTAAATATCGTAATAATGTCTAACAGGAAGTATATGTGTCCATGCGTGCGTGCGTCTGTGTGTACGTGCGTGCGTGCGTGCTACGTGCGTATGTGTGTACGTGCGTGCGTACGTGCGTATGTGTGTACGTGCGTGCGTGCGTACGTGCATGCTACGTGCGTATGGGTGTACTTGCGTGCGTGCATGCTACGTGCGTATGTGTGTACGTGCATGCGTGCGTGCGTGCGTGCGTGCGTGAGTGCGTGCTACGTGCGTATGTGTGTACGTGCGTTCGTGCATGCTACGTGTGTACGTGCGTGCGTGCGTGCTACGTGCGTATGTGTGTACGTGTGTGCGCGTGGTGGGGGGGGCGGACGTCGGTGACAGGGGAACAAAATGAAGGACGCTGCAGCTGCAAGTGTCTATAGGCTCGCCCGTGTGGGTCAAGGTGCCTGTCAACACATCTGCAGCTGATGCATGCAGAAACAGCGACAACGGGCAAAAGGCGGGGTTTCACCGTAACGTACGTATTTCCATAGTATTATACGTGGCGTATCTTCTTGATACTCCACGTTAAAAGTGTTTCTCTATTATTCCATGTAACGTGCTCCTATATTATTCCGTGTGACGTATTATACGTAACTTGTTCCGTGTGACTTATTTCCTATATTATTGCGTGTTACATATTCCTATTTTATCCCACGAAACGTGTTCCTATATTGTTTCACGTTACGTGTTCCTATATTATTCCACGTTACGTATTATACGTAACTTGTTCCGTGT